CCAAATATATTTTTTACTGCCAGCAAAAAGGGGAAACGTATGAGGCTGAAACTGGGTGGCATGGAGTTCCCTGAGTCCATATTTTAGAATAAAAATTTTTTTTTTAATGAGGACACTTTTTTTAAGTCCCATTTTCGTGATTTATTTTTCGATCCAACGAAACGGAAACAAAATTTAAACTTCCCTCAGAAGTACCTATTTGATGGCTGAGTATAGGAAAAATCCTACTTTTGAAATATGCCTTCTTAGCATAGATTATAAGAGGGAAGTATTTCAAAAGGTATTCTCCACCCTTACAAAAAGGGACACATGAAAAATTTCAAGTTAGGCACATTAGATATGATAGAAGTAAAGAGTTTGATAAAAATGAAGACTTTCGTCCCCATATATCACGTTTTTCAATGTGGGACGTACTTTAAATACATGTTTGCCATTTCGCAAAGAATAAATGAATTAATCTCTATACAAGGTAATGGAGCGCCGAAGGCGCGACCACGGCAAGTTTGTTTGCCCGAAGGGCAAACAAACTCGCTAGTTATTGATATGACTGTTTAAAATTCCAGCTGCGTGTTTCATTTAAATGCTTTGGGACATAATTCACTTAACCTCTAATACGATGGGGCATAAGTCGCTTAACCTCTAATACGAAGACGTGGATGTTTCCCGGGTACCGGCTAGTAAATAGTTAATATACTGATGAAAACTGATTTTAATTTAAAAAAATGGTATGTATTATTCCAAGGATTAATAGCCAGGCGGCCTTCCGTTTCACTGAAATAATTACTCGTTTCAGTGAACTCATGGCTACCATATATTCCTCATTTTTCGCTCCAATAATATGCTATGCAAATCCAAACTCTACTACTTACATTTGAACAATGAATTAATTTAATCTGCAAACCACAGTAGCTGTTGCAGCAAAGTATTTCACTTTTCGAGCATGGAAACCCTAGAACCCCTGGAGAGATAGAGCCTGGCCAATCTCAACTAAGGGCGCCAATTTTGCTCCACAGTGCACATCCTCCCATTCTCCCCCATTCAAGTATTCCTTAAATCGCTCTGATTTCCTCATATGAGGCACGCTCATCGAGAGTGGATTCCGTCTCCAATATACGAGATACACTAACGAAACCTTCCTTCTTACTTCCTTATAGCCTAATGTCAATTTCACGCTAGTTAAATCCCACCAAGTTGGTTCCTTCTGGGTCTCCGATGTGTATCTAACGACCATGTAGAAAGTTTTATTTCTTTTTTAAATTTATTCGTATCAAGATTTAATTTAAAATACTTCCACTCTATCTTGAAAGGATAGTTCCAGCTTACCTACGTCATCTTTATAGGCATCCTTCAAGCATCTGCACGATGCCCAGTATTTTGCACAAGAAGCAACGGTGTGTACCATGCCAAATATGCTATATGGCGTGAATGGCAGCGAAAGTGCTAATTGATTACAATCGCTCATAATTTTGCTACGATATCCGAGATGGTCGATTACACCTCCTGCTTGAGTGCGTATGGAATGACCTGGATGTGACCCATGAAGGAAGGTTCTTTCATAACTGATATGTTAAAATGCAAGACTACAAAAGTCCTGCAGCCTTGACTCGTTCTGAATGTTTTATGTACATTAAAGGCTGTCTGATTTCCCAAGAGGGAAATTAAAGATCACCACCCGGAACGGTCTCCTTCAATATCAGCTATGTCAGATGCTCTAAGATATTGATGTGTTCAGTCACAAAAATAATATATTAAAGTGCATCATTATTATTTACCATAATGAAGAAACATCCTATCTTATACAAGATTGCAAGGCTTCCAGATATAAAAAACTAAGGAAGGCATTACTTACAGTTTCGAATGGTCTCCGCGAGAGATTTTGCTCCATTTTTCTCCAATGATGTCAGCAATTTTTCTACGAATTCCTTGTGATTCTGCTCCATATCCAAGAGACACTTCAATAATCCCTGGAAGGCATCATCCCCTGCTCGGGGTATCTTCTCCAAAATGAACATCGCTTGTTTCTTAGACTTGTCTTCGGAATATTTCGTCTTCTCAATAAATTCATCATCCTGTATGATTCCTTCCCCCTTCAGGCGTAACAGAAGATCGTCAAGGTCGATATATTGTCGAAATGTGCTTAAGTGGTCAGTAATCACTTTGGATATTGTCGGACCGTGCGTTGTCATGATGCCTCTATTGGTCCACTGCTCCCAGGCACTGCTGTTATTGAAAGTGAGACTGCTATCATTATCCGCTTAAAATTCTCAGAAGAATCAACCAAATGTTCCTCAGATGTACTGGGTAACAACAAAAATCCGTCACGAGTAAAATAGGCATGGCAGCATGACATGCTCCTTGGAGATTGATAATCGCTCAAGGAAGAAGACGCATACCTCACCATGAAGAAAGAAAGGAGCCGAAAGTTGAAAAAAGGAATCGTGATGATCACCGGCGATCCAAGGAAAAAAACTGAATTGGTGTGGAAACAGTTCTACATGCTTTACATAGTAAATTTTCAAGTCCCTACTCCTAATCTCGTAGACATAGGTATACTTCTGCCTTCCCTCTCCCCAGAAGAGGGAGGGATCGGAGCCCTTAAAGCTTGGTTCTACCCTCCTACCCCAAGAGGTCACAAGATCCAGGAGAAGGCTACAAGATCCAAAAGTAGGATCATCAAAGTTCGGGTGGAAAATGTCTTTCAACTAGCAGATTAGCAGTGACACCTTGGCCAAATCCACGCACATCATGGTGCAAACATTACTTTCACTTCTGGACGGAAGGTTGGATGCGTGGAGACTGCCCACTTCACAATATTGGGTTTACGCCTAAGTACGTACATGGCAGGCTGGGCCACCTAAACTATCACACAAATACTAGCACAGACCTGTTCAAAGGCGGATGGATCTAACCACTCAAAACCATTCATCCTTCCATCATTCTTTCATGTGCACCGTTTATCTGTCATTACCAAATCTAACTGAGAAATGAGATTTGCGATGGTCCAGGACCGGAAATAGGTTACTTTTTTTTCGAAAAGGTGACAAAGTGAGGGTTCAAGGTTGTTTAGTGGTATCAAGAGGCGATAACATCCATTGGGATACCACGTGTCGAGGTCGAGCACTCCTTACATTTAAGGTAGGCCTAGTCCACTTAAAGCTAAATTTATTTGTATTTTTGCGAGTTTTATTATTTTTTTACCACATCCTAGGGACTTATTGCCTAGGCCCGTAAGTCAACATTGCTCCCCTTCTTGCTTGTCCATAAAAGCGTCTAGTCTCTTCTTAAAAATAGTCACGGAAGGGGCAGCCACTACGTCGTCATCTAACGCATTTCACGCATTTACCAATCTGCAAGTAAAAAGTCCTGTCTCGACCTGAGCCGCACCTGCAGTTTGCCGAACTTAAGTTGATTTCCTCTTGTTCTCTTGCTGCCATCGAACTGGGTAAACCTACCACACTCGACATCATCTATTCCTTTAATTATTTTGAAAGCCTGGATGAGATCGCCCCTCCTTAACCTTCTCTCGATCGAGTACAGTCCTGGCACTTCTAAACGCTTCTCTTACGGAAGTCTCCTAACCTCCTTTATCATTCTTGGGGCCCTCCTCTATAGCCCCTCGAGCGCCAACAATTCACCCTTATTTGTAGGCCTCCAAAACTGGATGCAATAGCAATAATGTCGCTGAACTGTATAACGTGTCATTCGTGATTCAACGTCCAATATTTTTTCAGTTCTGATTCTTCCATCTCCATTGGATCTTCTTTTATGTGTCGGAATCCAGGAAAAAAGCATCGATTCTACGGATTTAAAGTATGTCGGGCCTACAAATAAATAACCCCTTAAGTAACGGTCTTCCCGTTAATAATTTAATCATAGGTACGAGATACAGGGCGTCCCAAAATTGCCTGGACATAGATTCTTTCGCCTAGCCTATGGTCTAGTAATACCTCTGCTACATTAGCCTGGCGCACGAGGACTACAATTTTATGCCTTTCTAATCCATAGGCTAGGCTAGTGCCGTAACAAGGGGTGTGCAAGCGGTGCCCCCGCTGAGGGCGCCGATTGGCTGCCAAATAATTACAAAATATGTATAAAACTAAAAAATAAAATAAAAATACAAATTATCCTGAATTTAACTAAATTAAATATAGAAATGAATACGTAATGTATTGTCTGTGCTGGGGAAGCTGGAGAGGCATAGAGATTGGGGTGCGCTTGGTTGATATCTCGCACAGGGCGCCAAATATCCTCGGTACGGCTCTGGGGTAGGCGGTAGGACCTATGTCTAGGCAATTCTGGGACATCCTGTATATATAGGGTGGTTAAAAAAAAAACGCTCTACCGTTTTCTATGGGAGAAACAGTCTCATAAATTCAGCGAAAAAAATAGCATTGGGTAGGCTATCGATATTTGACTGTTACAATGTGTTGAAATGCTTGCCAGCTTTTTTTCAGCATTCTTGCCTAAATTGTGCAATGCCCATTTAGAGGTGAATTAAAGGTGCTTAGAGGCGGAGCATTCCACCTCAAGTGCGGTGATAACTGTGCTCGACCGTCTCAGTATTCAATGAACTATTCAGCTTTACTTTTCAAGGGGCAGTTGACCCGGTGACCGAGGGTGATTACCAAATACGCTCCACCGCTTTTGAAGGGAGAAAGTATGACTTGTGCATTCGAGGAAAAAAATGAGATTGATAATATTCTGATATTGGAAGTATAGGAGGTGTTGAAAAGATTGTCTGCGCTTTTCTCAGAACAATTCTTTGAACTGTGCATAGGGCATGAGCACGAATCATTTGTTGTCCTCTTTGAGAACAGGGGAGCTTTTTTGTAATCACCCTCGGTCACCGGGTCAACAACAGCGCCCTCTATTGGGATACAGCGCCATCTTGCGGAAGGGAAGAAAACCTCTTAGATTCGTGAACCTCTTTGCCATGTATCAGCTAGATTCAACTGTCCATTGAAAAGTAAAGTTGAAAAGTTCGTTGAATTCTGAGACGGTCGAGCACAGGTCATCACCACACTTGAGGTGGAATGCTCCGCCTCTAAGCACCTTTAATTCACCTCTAAATGGGCATTGCACATTTAGGCAAGAGTGCTGAAAAAAAGCTGGCAAGCATTTCAACACATTGTAACAGTCAAATATCGATAGCCTATTTAATGCTATTTTTTCGCTGAATTTATGAGACTGTGTTTCTCCCATAGAAAACGGTAGAGCGCTTTTCTTTAACCACCCTATATACAGCTGCGTATAAAACGGGAAGGATGACATTCCTTCTCGGACACTTAATCATTTCCAATTCTAATTCTCACTTGGAAAAGATAACCAGGAGCACTCACGCTTATTGAGGAACGGCAAAAGAAAGATGTTTTGTAGACAAGAGCTCAGGATATCGTGACGTGAAAATAGCTACAGAAGAGGATGAGCTGTGCGTAGGAATTGATCGGAGGAGATGACATCCCTCCAATATCCTCTCAAAGCAGCTGGGGACAATGGAAGTGCGTGAGATGCGGCAAACAAGTTGTGAAGACTTCGCGATCCTTCGGCTCCACGTTGATCACCCACTTCGGTTCCAAGGGTAGATCATGTGCGTGCACGCATCCCCTGACACACCCCTGGAACAGATGCCGACAGTGTTGCAGCATTCCCTTGCGTCTTGTTGGGGGTTAACTATGCCAGCACATTCACACTAGCGTAAAAAATAAGTTGTGGCTTCATTTCCCCGAGAGTATGCAAAAAAAAGGCATGCTCCATTAAATTCTAAATGAGCTAGATATTACTCATGAATATTAGCACTAGGGTCGAATCCGAGCCGAACACTGACGCACATTCAGACCGAGAGACACGCACCATAAACATTCGCGGTGGATCCGTGCGTCTGTCCGGGATTAAGGGGCTTGACTTAGGGTTAAACATCTCAATCCAAGTAGCAAGCCTTATTTTTTTTCAAATTGCGCAATCTGAATGGTTTCGTGTTTCTGTGTTCATCTGAGAATCGTCATGTTTCAGTGCATTCGCTGAGTCATGATTCAAATCGAAACACGTCCGTCCTTGAAATTCTTCGCCGGCGCAAGAGCACACCCAGCGCGGCGGGTTCCCCCCGCCCCCCCCCCCCCCCCCCCC